AATGGCCAGACTTCATCTCACCTACTTTGGTCATGTTGTCAGAAGGGACCATTCCCTGGAGAAAGATGTCATGCTTGGTTAGGTGGAGGGTCGACAAAAGAGAGGAAGGCCTTCAATGAGATGGATTGACACAGTGGCTGTGACAATGGGCTCAAGTATAGCAGGGATCATGGAGCTGGTGCAGGATTGGGTGGTGTTTCATTCTGCTGTTCATGGGGTCACTGTGAGTTGGAAATGACTCAACAGCACTTAACAACAATGACAACATCTACACGAAGGTCCCTGAGTAGCACAAATGTTTTTGGCTCAACTACTCACCAAACCACCACTCGTCTGTCAGTTTGTCATACTGTGGTGGCTTAGGTGTTGCTGTGAGGCTGGAGGCTATGTCACCAGTATTTCAAAAACCAGCAGGGTCACAAATGGTGGACAGGTTTCAGCAGAGCTTCCGGGCTAAGACAGACTTGGAAGAAGGAAGAGGGCATCCACTTCTCAAAGAATTGGCCAGTGAAAACTTTATGAATAGCAGTGAAACACTGTCTGATATATTATTGGAAATAGCCTTGAAACATTGTCTGATATAGTGAGTCCCTCATGTTGGAAGGCACTCAACTTACGGCTGGGAAAGAGCTGCCTCCTCAAAATAGAGTTGACCTTAATGACATGGATGGAGTAAAGCTTTCAGAACTTCCATTTCCTGATGAAGCATGACTCAAAATGGGAAGAAAATCTGCAAATATCCATTCCACAATCATAATGTGGAATATACCAAGTATGAATGTAGGAAAATTGGAAGTTGTCAACAATGAAATGGAACTCAGAAAGGGCAGTATCATAGGCATTAGTGAGCTGAAATGGACTGGTTTTGGCCATTTTGAATCAGAAAATCATATCTATTATACCAGGAATGACAAATTGAAGAGCAATGGAGTGGCATTCATTATCACACAGGATGTTTCAAGATCTATCCTGCAGTACAATGCTGTCAGTGATAAGATAATATCCATATGGGTACAAGGAAGAACAGTTAATACTATTATTCAAATTTACTGATTGGGAAGAAATCCATATTTGTACCCATTCCAAAGAAAGGTGTTCCAACAAAATGTGGAAATTTCCAAGCAATATCATTAATAACACACACAAGCAAAATCTTGCTGAAGAGAATTCAAAAATGGTTGCAGCAGTATATTGACAGGAAACTTCCTGAAATTCAAGCTGCATTCAGAAGAGGACATTGAATAAGGTATATCATTGCTGATGTCAGATGAATCTTGGCTGAAAGGAAGGAATACCAGAAAGATGTCTAGGCATTTGATTATGTGGATCATAACAAATTATGGATAACATTAAGAAGAATAGGAATTCCAGAACACTTAATTGTGGTCAAGAGGAACTTGTACCTAGACCAGGAGATTGCCATTCAAACAGAACAAGGGGATACTGCATGTTTTAAAATCAGGAAGCATGTGCATCAGGGTTGTATCTTT